GGGAGGAATATTGTTGGAAGAAAAGTTAGGAAACATACCGGGTAGAGAAAAATATGTTAGGGAGGATGAAGCTGCGGGGGCAGGCTGAGGTGGAGACGTAAGCCAGCTTGGAATTCTTCGTCAGCCCGGGGAGCAAAAGGCGAAAATCTGGAACCAGAGGCAGAGACATGGGCCGCCAGGTTGGAATCCGTCAGATTAGCCCAGGGAGCAAAAGACGGGAAGCCAAACCGAAAGGCGCAGACGTGAGCTAGGTTGAATTCGCCAGGTTAGCCCGGGGAACTTAGACTGAATACTGGTGGCGGAACCGTGAGCTAGGCTGTGTGATTCGCGGAAGCTGCCGCGTGCAGAGAGCGCGCGGGGCACAAGTGGGGCAGGCGCCGGGAAGCCACGCAGATGAGAGAAGCGCGGGCTGAAGCGGCGTAGAGCCGGGAAGCCGCCATGGGGCGAGGCGCCGAGAAGCAGCCTCAGGGCGGGCGCCGGGAAGCTGCGGGGATAAGAAATAGAAGTTTAGAAGTAAAATGAGAGAAATAGGAATGCTGGCAGATAGAAGTAAAATAGGAGAGATAGGAATGCCCGGAGATAGAGAAATAGAGAAAAATAAGGCCTCCCCACAACACGGCAATGAGAGAGCTTGGATTCGGTCTGCCTGATTAGTAAGATGATAAGCACCTGTGGGCGGCTGCAGGTCACCGAAGACAGGCAAGTTATCAACACCAATAAGTCTCCCCACAAGAAGGCAATGAGAGGGCTTGGATTCGGTTTGCCTGATTGGTAGGGCTTGTAAGCACCTGCAGGCAGTTCTAGCAGAGCAGAGCATGCGCTGCAGGGCACCGAACACAGGCACGCATCAGCGCCTAAAAACCTCCTAACAACATGGCAAAGAGAGGACCCGGATTCAGTTTGCCTGATTGATAGGGCTTGTAAGCACCTGTGGGCAACTCTAGCAAGCAGAGCAGAGTGTGTGCCGCGGGGCACCAAAGACAGGCGTGTATCAACGCCAAAAATAAAAAGAAAGGGGGATCTGTGGGGAGCAACTGGGAGCAACTCGGACTAGACTAAGTTACTGGAATTAAGACTTATTCTATGCATCTGCTCTCCCACAATATGGCGCTGGGAGAGGAGGAAACAGCTTCTACACAGCTGCCTCCAGTTCAACCAATAAACAGCAGGAGCTGCTCCTGATTGGAGGAGAGCAGCATACTCGGCGTGTGGGTAGCAGAGTTGGGATTGGTGGAAGAGGACTATAAAGGAGGAGAGAGACAACATGCACGAGGAACATCTATCTGAAGGAACATCTGAGCAGCCCCCGAGAGAGCCGGCCATCGGTGTGCCGCTCCCCCGCGGAAGTGGGGAATGTGGCAGGGGGAACCGCCCTTCCACGGAGGTGGAAGAGACGGTAGCCAACCCGGGAAGAACCAGCAGCAAACCCGGGGAGGGCCGAGCAGACAAAAGAACAGCGCAGGGTCCTGTGTCGTTCCTCCATGAAGACGGGGAGCGACAATAAAGACCAATCAAAACTATTCCAAATGAATTAGCTGTATGTATAACTGACAAACAAGCACCCCTTCTTTCCATAGTTCATTAGATTTACCATAGATCAGGCAGAGACCTTGGTGAAAGAACATTGATTGTGAAAAATAGGCAGTTTCTTGACTGTATAATAACTGTAAATTTTGTTTTAATTTTTGATAGAAAGATTTTTAATTCTGGAACTATGTAAAAAAGGAAGTATTTATTCATTCTTCCTAATGCAAATGCAATAAATAGCATATTCTAATCCTTGCTGTGCTACTAACAGGCAATGTAAACCTTGAACAAGTTACATAATGCTGTACATAACTCCACATTCTCTGTTTTCTCAGCACAAAACTGATATAAAAATAATAATGACCTTTGGACCTTTTGTAAGAGTTACATAAATAAATGTATATAAAGTACTTGGGTTTGTGTCTGGCATTTAGTTAGTGCTAATAGTTTAGCTAACATTTTTCAGTTATCAAAATATACTTTGATCACATTTTATGTCTTTATGGTATTTAAAAAAGAAAAATAGCAATTTTCCTAATCTATTAATTAGTTACATACTATTAAATGGTTTGCTTAAGTCTCAACATCTATTATTTTACTTTATCCACGAAATAATGGAGACATTGTTATCTTCACTTAGAATTGAATTAGGATACAGGAAAGTTAATCAGTGAACAAATATTCAAGCCATGGTTGTGTGAATTGAAATCCAGACTAAGATAAGTATTCGCCCTACTGAATCTTGGTCAAAGGTTAATAAAATAAAATCCTGGAAGAGTCACTCTTTCTGGGGAAAAAAAGTAAAGTAAATAATTGTTCAGTATGATAAGAACCGTAAGAAGAATACTTGTGTATGCACAAGGTGTTTTGGGAACAGAGAACACAGGATTAAACTTTTCACTAATGCGTGAATGGCCCTTGGGTTCTGAGATTAGGTTGAAAAGGGTATACAAAATAGCTACAAGTAAAACATTAGATTTAACTTTTTTTTAATGTAGACTAAAGAATAAATAACTCAGAGTCTCTGCATAAATAAGACTTTAGAGGCAATATTTTTTAAAATAGAAAGAACAATGCAAATATTCCAATTAGTAGCACAATTGAATAAATGTCACCTAAAAATACATGATCATTTTTCTAAATATTACAGCTTCATATTCTAATGTAATCCTCCCTCATTCCAACATTTCAATCACATACATCTCTTTTGGCCAGCACTGCTTATGCATCACATTCATCTCCTACTTAGATTATTGCTTTTTTTAATTCCAGATTCTCTCTGTTGCAACTCTTCTCCCCTTCAATTCACTGCAGCCATGGAGACACTTCTAAAATGAAAATCTGTTCACATTAAAAATCTTTATACTATTCCCCTGGTTTACAGAATGAAGTCTCAACATCATGGCAAGATTTTAAAAATCCATGATCATTTTCCCATTTTCTGCCTCTTCAAACTCACCTTCACCCATGCCAAACTGCATTCAGTTCCTGAAATACTTAACTTGTTGTTAACATCTGGGTCAATGCACTGCATGCAGCATCTGATAAATAAATATTGCTAGTGGAAGGGATGGAGACATTGAGAAGAGAGAAATGAGCCCCTTTGGTGATCCATTCTCAGTTGATCATGTTGTCTCCTTTCACACCTACCTAGTGGAGTGGACACTGAGGGGCATTTCCTTCCAGCAGTAGCATGCCCTCAAAACCAACTGCTTGGAAAGCATGCACTTAACTTTTTCAATCTATACACCATTGCTCCTTGCTATGCATTCTGTATAGACAAGCCGAAATATAATCTAGACAAATTGGGTTGTTTCAGGGCCTACCCACCCATCTTCTTTGTTCCAAGAGATCTCAAATCTCAGTTTCAGCAAACAGAAAATCACTGATTCAGATGTCCTCATACAGCAGAAATTTATGAAATGACCTTGAACTTTCAGGATAGGACCGCTTTGAAGTCATTAATACAAACTGTTGTAGCTTTTAGTTGGGTTGGCTTTTATTTTTTGCAGTACCCTCATTCTTGGGTTATTGGCCTTGTTTGCATCCTGTTCTAAGGTGCGATATATAGTACATTGGTTAAGCATGCTATCTAAATCAGGCTAGCTGTATTGTGATACTTTCCTCTGAAGTGCTAATAATAGGATCTTGGGAAAGGTAATTTTACTCTCTTGAGTCTTAATTTACTCACCTGTAAAATTGAGATAATAATAGCATTGGTTCTTTACAATTTCCAGATACACATTTAATTACCATGAAGAGCAAGCTATTTTTATTGATCTTTTGCAATTATCTACAAGCTGATGCACAGCAAGCATGTTCATTCTTGCTCATGAAGTCATGTCTGTAGCTTTGATGTCCAGGAACTCATTCTGCACTGGGAATAAGAGAAGAGAAAAAACTTTTATAGCAAATTTAACTCTTTTTTTTTCTTTTTTTTTAACTTTTATTTAATGAATATAAATTTCCAAAGTACGACCTATGGATTACAATGGCTTCCCCCCCATACCGTCCCTCCCACCCACAACCCTCCACCCTCCCACTCCCTCTCCCCTTCCATTCACATCAAGATTCATTTTCAATTATCTTAATATACAGAAGATCAGCTTAGTATACATTAAGTAAGGATTTCAACAGTTTGCTCCCACACAGAAACATAAAGTGAAAAATAATAGATGATTTTTTTTAATGATGATGAAATCAGATCAGACCTATTGTCATGTTTAATCCCAGTGAGAGTCTAGTTGGGAATTGATAATTTCTTTTCTTTCTTTTTTTTTTTTTTTTTTACAGAAGATCAGTTTAGTATGCATTAAGTAAAAGATTTCAACAGTTTGCACCCCCATAGAAACACAAAGTGAAATATATTGTTTGAGTACTCGTTATAGCATTAAATCTCAATGTACAGCACATTAAGGACAGAGATCCTACATGAGGAGTAAGTGCACAGTGACTCCTGTTGTTGACTTTACCAACTGACACTCCTGTCTATGGCATCAGTAATCTCCCTATGCTCCAGTCATGAGTTTCCAAGGCTATGGAAGCCCTCTGAGTTCTCCGACTCTTATCTTGTTTAGACAAGGTCATAGTCAAAGTGGAGGTTCTCTCCTCCCTTCAGAGAAAGGTACCTCCTTCTTTGAAGACCTGTTCTTCAAATTTAACTCTTATAATAATAAACTGATTTACATGTATTAACTTATATAACCAAAATCAGGATCAGATGCTCTACATTAGCTGTCTACATCCAATATCATCTGTATTTATATCTGTAGCTGTAGCTGTCATCAATATCAGTGACTCTCAGCAAAGGAGAGATATCTTCATTTTGAAAAATTATGGCTGGGGCCGGCGCTATGGCGCAGCAGATTAAAGACCTGGCCTGAAGCGCTGGCATCCCATATGGGCGCCAGTTCTAGACCCAGCTGCTCCTCTTCTGATCCAGCTCTCTGATATGGCCTGGGAAAGCAGTAGAAGATAGCCCAAGGCCTTGGGCCCCAGCACCCATGTGGGAGACCCGGAAGAAGCTTGCGGCTCCTGGCTTCGGATGGGCACAGCTCTGGCCATTGCGGCCCTCTGGGGAGTGAACCAGTGGATGGAAGACCTCTCTGTCTCTACCACTCTCTGCAACTCTGTCTTTCAAATAAATAAAATAAATCTTTAAAAAAAAGAAAAAGAAAAATTATGGCTAATAAACTTATAGTGAATGACAGACTCAAAATTCTGTATGTAAAAAATGATGACATTTTGAATAAAACAATATAAATAATTATATGAATGACAACACTTCTGAAGTTCATGAAAAATATATGTCACATACAGACACACACAGTTTGGCGATGTAAGGACCTTTTCATAAAACAATAATCAAATTTAGCAAGAACTCAAAGGAGAAAGATGGATACTACAAGGACCAGAGGTATATCATATAATGTTTAAAATCAAGTATTTTAGAATTAGATAATGATTGGACTTGAATCTATTGTCCAAACTAGCTTGATGATCCTGAGCAAGCTATTTATCTCTGCTGTACTTTCCTAAGTGAAATAATTAGTAAGTAATAACTGTAATATTTTCTCCTCTATTTTCATAGTTCTAGAATATTTGGTATTTTGGGCTAAAAAGTTGTATGATTTCAGATGGAAATGCACCAACTGACCATATTTCCTGTGTATCTCTTGCTTGTCTCTGAAGATATGGTCTTTATGTTGCTACTACCTGCTCTCTGGGCTGAGAGGTTGCAATTTATAGACTGCAACAGAGTTTCCTTGTCCCTAGGTTTCATGATGAGTCTGGTAAAGGGAGGTGCTGCTAGGAGGTAGGAGTGAAGTAGGAAAGTTGATTTATGATACTGATTATCCTAGCTCTCTCTCATGGATATGCTACAGTCCAGCAGACCCCTTAAATAAAATACTTCAGTTCTTGCCAGATAGTCCTCTCCTTGCAATCATTTTTATAATCTATTAATGTGTTTTATGCTAACTTGTCTAACATAGCTAATTATCTTTAGCCTTTTCTTTTCAAGATAGATGTTTTAATGAAATCCTGCTATTACTAGGTATTGAGTATAAAATATCCAATATATTTTTCTTGATCGTATCTTTGTAAATAGGCCTTTTATCAAATCCTCCATGAATTATTTTTAGGTGTGCCCTCCATATTTTCTAGGATCCTAAATAGTATATGTAAACCCATAGAAAATGGAATTGCATGTCTTAAAAAAATGAGACAGAAGCCATATGAAAGAACATGATAAAAAGATGAGATACTGACAGATATGCTTGTAGCCTCCTGAAATTCCTTACTTGTTTTCACATATCATTAGTATATAACTGTATGGTAACACTAGCATGAATGAGTCATAATAAATGTTATGCATAATTAAAATAATTTAAAAATAATTATTTTTCTTATTGAATGAAATATTGCTTATATTTTTGATACTTTTTTTCTGAAATGTATTTTGCCCAGGTCTCTGCTTTCTTAATGCAGTTAAGGAGTTTCCTTCCACTAGGGCAGGGTTTAAATTGCTTTGAGTTTGGAATACTGGAGAAGATTCAGTGAGGGTTTAAGATGTAACCAGACTGTGACCTGGGCAGCACTGCTGCAGACTGCACTTTCTGTTTAGGCATGAGATTCTATAACCTTTGTGCTTTTAGATCAGCTAGAAGTAAAGGGCATTTTTCAGGAATGAATTCCATGATTATGTCTGTTTTATTCTGTGGATTGCATTCACATTTTTCTTTAAACAACTCTTATATGAAAAATATCATGTATTTAAATATTATGCATCTAAAAATGACCTAAGTGGAAATTTTTATGAATGATAGCCCAGAAAGATAAAGTCCTCAAAATAAAATGTTTTCTAGTGTTTCTTTCTAGATATCACACTTCCATTCTCAAGTGATACAGCACAAGAGTATGTTTAATTCTTGAGAAGTCCTTTTGTTTTAATTGTCATCTCCTCTCCTGTCTGCCTTGAGGAGCAAGGCTCAACAGAATTTTCAAATCATACAAAAAATCTGAAGCTACTCTATCAACAAAGCCCTAAATCCCACTCAATAAAAAGATACTTTGCAAAGTTCATTTCTCATGTATACACAATAATTTGTTTTTCATCATCAAAGCAGAAGTGTTTTATTTCATTCCTTTGAATGAGGAGAAATCCTACCATATTATACAGTAAGTAGTACCGCAAATTTTTCTTATGACTTTTTACCACCCTCCATTTTTTGTCATTGGCACCTACTAATTACCTTTTTTAATTAAATGCATATTTGGTTACTAGAAAAGCAAGTTTGATAACAATATGAAAAATAGGTGCTTTGAAATCTGAACAAAGGCTATTGGTTGGAATATTCCATAAATCTCACAGATTTTAACTCCACATCTATGCAACTCAGCATCTGCCAAATAATTGATCCTATTTCTTCCATGAGCAGGAATAATAATGCAGATGAAAGAAGTGCTTAATTTAAGAAAAGCATCATTTAGTCCTATGTAAGTCCTTTAGGGCATATTTCTGAATGATTATGAAATATTATATATTTTCTTATCAGAAGAATAATTTCTTTTTCTGAGTTATTCATAGATTCAAGAGAATATATACATTACAGATGAAATACAATCTAAATGAACATAAATTTAAAAAGAATTATTATTCATATTTTTATAAAGATTTGTTTATTTATTTGAAAGCCAGAGTTACACAGAGAGAGAAAGAGAGGCAGAGAGAGAGAGAGAGATCTTCTATCCACTGGTTCACCCCCAAGATGGCTGCAACAGCTGGAGTTGCGCCAGTCCAAAGCTGGGAGCCAGAGCTTCTTCCTGGTCTCCCAGGCAGGTACAGGGGCCCAAAAACATGGGCCATCTTCTACTGCTTTCCAAGGCCATAGCAGAGAGCTGGAATGGAGGAGGAGCAGCAAGGACTCGAACTGGCACCCATATGGGATGCTGGCACTGCAGGCATTGGCTTTACCTGCTACACTATGGTGCCAGCCCCAAGTCATATTTTTAAGTGGCTTTTTTTTTTCCTAATTTAGATGCAAGGATAAAATAAATTATTTTCCAAAATTAAGCTTTCCAATTTCTAGCATTTTGTGTTTGAAGGCATGAAGTTTTCATATTTTCCTCATCTTTTTTCCTTCTAATTCTTCAGTAGGGCAGATATATATTTATTTCATTTCAATTTTAAAAAGCAGATTTTCCCGATTTAAGAAATATTAAAGTAAATTGTTTTAAAAAATGACTTCACATCTATCAATTGATTCAAAAACCAGATTTGAGGCTCAGAGTGAATACATAATTAAAGAAATCAAGATTTGGAAACATGTTCTTTAAAAGAGTGTCCAGGAATTGGTGTTGTGACATGGCAGGTTAAGTTGCTGCCTGTAGTGCTGGCATCCCATGTGGGCGCTGGTTCAAGTCCTGGCTGCCCCACTTCCAATCCGGCTCTCTGCTAATGCTCCTGGGAAAGAAGCAGCAGACGGCCCAGGTGTTTGGGCCTCTGTGCCCAAGTGGCTGTTGCAGCCAATTGGGGAGTGAAATTTCTCTCTCTCTCTCTCTCTCTCTCTCTCTCTCTCTGGCTCTGACTATGCCTTTCAAATAAAATAAATAGGTAAATCTTAAAAAAAAAAAAGGGGGACAGAACCCTGGCGCAATAGGTTAATCCTCTACCTGTAGCACCAGCATCCCATATGGGCACTAGTTTGAGTCCTGGCTGCTCCTCTTGCAATCCAGCCCTCTGCTATGGCCTGGGAAAGCAGTAGAAGATGGCCCAAGTCCTTGGGCCCCTGCACCCGTGTAGGAGACCCAGAAGAAGCGCCTGGCTCCTGGCTGGAGCCAGCTCTGGAGGTTGTGGTCTTTTGGGGAGTAAACCAACAGAAAAAAGACCTTTCTCTCTGTCTCTCCCTCTCACTGTCTGTAACTCTACCTCTCAAATAAATAAATAAATAAAATATTTAAAAAAAGAGAGTCCATATAGTGTCAGCACCATCTTTTAACTTGTTTACTTTAAACAACTCCTGAGTACCCATCCCAGATCTCTAATCCTGACTGACAATAACAAGGAAGATAACAAAAAGTTATAAATTCCAGTTGGATATAGATATTGTATATTGACCAAGCAAATTGATTACCCAATCATTGAGTGTCAAGGCATAGGGTGATTTATGATGTAGGCACTTGGCTGGATATTCAGAGTTGTTGAAATATAGGTAAGATGGAGATGAAGGCTTGCTTGGAAAAACAAGATAGAAGCAGAAATGTATTATTATTACCGTAGATATATGATAATCATTTCAGTATTCATTAATAAAAACAATCTTATAAAATAAAACCCTTACTATCCTGAATGAATCCCTAACCAAATTGCCAAATTTGTGCCAACAGCAGAAAAATTCTTGCTTAAATTATCAAAATATCATAAATCTTATGTAAGATTAATAAAGTATGAACAAAGATGTGTATAGTGTATTCTTAAGGTGCGGACTGGTTTTGCCTCCATTTTGCTGTTTTTAAGAAGAAAATTTATCATTTTTCTTTTAATTTATTATTGGTAAAGATTTAATGAAAGACCATTTTTAATATCATTTTATTTACTGCAAAAATAACAACATGTATATTAGAGCAATGCATGAAGATGTAATTAGAAGACATAATTCAAGTTCCTCATTCCAAATTCATTAGTTCTTAAATTGATTATGTGAGTACCTGGGTTCAAATCCCAGTTCCACACCTGAATCCAACTTTGTGCTAATGCAGACTCTGGGAGGCAGTAGTGATAACTCAAATAATTGGGTCCCTGCCACCCACACCGACATGGACACCTAGCGCATGCACAGTATTTGTGGGCTTTGGGTGAGTCGATGGGGTCTCTCTTCCAATCTCTCTCTCTCTCTTTCTGTCCCTTTCTCTTTCTCTGTTAAATAAATAAATTTAGAAACTTTTTAAATTGCCAAAATTAGTAAGTAAATAAATTTAAAAAATGGGAAAATGATAATTGTGATATACATTCTAGAGCAATTTTGAGTGAGATGTGGCAGATGGGGGAAATAATAAAATAATTAGCTAGATTATGGAATTATAAAATTTATAATGTTTAAAGTACAAATATGCAGAGCTTCATTGAGAAAGAACTAGAGATAGAAGCAAAATACTTGTAGAAGCAAATATACTAAATCAATAAAACTGAAAATTTGGATGGAAAAGACTAAGGAAAAATTGTTTTAAATAAATGGCCTCTCAATATCATGGCAGATCTAACATTAAAAGAAATATTTTGAAAGAAATTAAGAAACATTTCTAAATTCTAGACATGTAACATGAAAAGGATTCACTGCCAGATGGTTCTACAAATATGTTCAATGTTTCACACATAGATAATTATTGTACAATTACCTGTAAAGGCTACAAACAGCATATGCATATTTCAGAACTTGTTTTTGATGTGATAATTACCTGACATCCAAAAGCTTTCCTAAAAGGATAGCTCAAAAATAATAAAATGTGTGTAAATATATGTAAATATAATACTACTACTTTCAGATTATATAGAGTTCAGAATGTAAATATAATTTAAATTTATAAATTACATTATTAAATGTTATATGAATAGATCAAGAGATAAAAAATTATAAGCAGCCCCAGAATAATCTGATAAAACCACAGTCTATTCCTGATTGTAAAAATCCATATTAAGTAGAATTATATGGTTATATCCTTAATAAGCTAATGAATAATGCATGCATTTCAACCAACAACAATATCATACTGGATGATGAACTTGTCTAACATTCAGATTAAAATCAAGAAAATAACTGGTTGTTAAGGCTGGCATTGTGTTGTGTTGCAGTGGATAAACCCCTTTTGATGTCAGCTCTGCTTCCCATCCAGCTTCTTGTTAATGTGCCTGGAAAAGCAGCAGAAGATGGCCCAGGTGTTGGGTCCCTGCCACCTATGTGTGAGACCCAGATGGAGTTCCAGGTTCCTGGCTTCAGCCTGACCCAGCTCTAGCCATTGTAGCCATGTGGGGAGTGAACCAGCAAATAAAATGTCTCTCTTCCATGCTCTTTCTCACTCTGCCTTGCACATAAATAAAATAAACTTTAAAAAAAAACAAATAAAAAATGACTGGACTGTAGTACAGCATGTAAGCTGTCACCTGCAGTGCCAGCATCCCATATGGGCACCAGTTCATTCCCTGATTGCTCCACTTCTGATCCAGCTTCCTGTAAATGCACTTAGAAAAACAGAAGAATATGGTTCATGTGCTTGTTCCCTTAAACCCACATGGGAGACCTGGATGAAGCTCCTGGCTCCCAGCTTTTGCCTGGCACAGCCCTGGCCAATGCAACAGTTTGATGAGTGGACCAGTGGATGCAAGATCTCTCTCCCTTGGTCTCTCTTTCTTTCTCTCTGTAACTTTGCCTTTCAAATAAATAAATAAATATAATAAAAATAAAAAACCACAAATTTTGAAAAAAACAATTTAGCTGCCGGGATGGTGATTAGAGGAGTAGGATAATTTAGTCAAAGGATATAAAATTTTAATTATATAGGAGGCACAAGTTCAAGAGATCTGTTGTACAATATGGTAAATAAAGTTAAAAATATTCTTGAGATATGCTAAGAGAGTGAAAATTAAGTGTTCTTACAACAGAAATGCTAATTGTTGGATTTAAAATTTCAATTAACTAGATTTATCCATTCTACAATGTATATTCTGAGCACTGCAAAACATCAAGTTGCACACAATAAATACACATTACTTTATACATTAATTTAAGATGAATCAATACCTAAATTAAAAACAAGATAGTGAAGAATCCTACAGTCACTATTAATAGTTCAACATATTATTACTATATCAATTACTGATTGCAACAGTGTAGTAGGTAATTACTTTGGTAGCAATGAGGTTGTGAAAATTCTAAGGAAAATTAATAGGAAAGATAAAAACAAGATAAGTTATATAGATAGTAATTTTTATGGAGGTAGCATCATTCTAGGTATTTGATTTGAACCTGGTAACTTGAATTTTCTTAGGGATTCAATTATGCTCATTAACTTATTTATGGAGTCACAGTTTATCAGATAGGGAAATTTCCTTTTGAAAAATACAATGATCCTTTGTGCCAAAGCTCAGTTGCTCCATCTGTGAATAAAAGAAACAGTGCCAGTGCAGAGCTCTGAGCAGTCAGAGAATTGGAGTTTGTCCTTGCAATCTGCTCCTGTAACTCCTTCCAGACATCCTTTGGGAGTGACGGATTCTACTTGGCAGACGCCTGTGGTCTGGGAGAAGTCTGTCAAGTTGGAGTTGAGTCATGCTGAAATCTCTGAGAGCAGAGCCAAATAGCATTATTTTTTAAAAGAAGATTTGGTTATTTATTTGAAAGGAAAAGCAACACAGAGAGAAGAACACACACACACACACACATACACAGAGTGAGAGAGAGAGAGAGATATCTTTCATCTACCAGTTCAATCACCAAATGGCTTTAGCAGCCAGATCTGGGTCAGCTTGAATCCAGGGGTGAAAACTCCATTCTCGTCTCTCACATAGGTGGCAAGGCCAATGTACTTGTGCCACGTAGGCCTGCCTTCCCAAGCGCATTAGTTGGAAGCTGGATCAGATCTGGAACAACCAAAATTTGAACAAACATTCCGGTACAAGATGTGGGCATTGCAATTGGCAGCTTAACCCACTGAACCACAACCTCAACCTCAAAAAGTCAATCTTCTCACAAACTGTCCAGTGGAAGTTGCTTGTTAATTTTCCACACGTGCTTCTTCTGTGTTCATGAAGAATTTTAAAGGAAAATCATGTGGAAGGGATCTTTTGAATCTGTATAGTAACAGAATATTATATAAAACATTTTCATTTTCTTTTTATATATAAACTCTGGCTCACTGGTGAAGTATTGATTATATAAGAAGGAAAATATGAAATCCACCTATTTTGCTAATTATTTATAAGCAAATTAAATGGATAAATGCAATTTAAAATGAACATTTGAAATGATGATGATTAGAGATCTTTGATTTCACATAGTGACCTCTTATATGAAAATACATAAAATAGCACGCTGTGTTATTGTCAAACAAATGAGAAATATTTTACATAACAGTAAAGGTTCTAAAGATCTCAGTGACATATAAAATATGTTATATATACATAAATATAAATAGTAAAAGTTTATCACTTGGGGCCAACTTTGTGGCATAGTTGGTTAATTGCAACCTGAAACACTGTCATCTCATATGGGTGCTGGTTTGTGTCTAGGCTGCTACACTTAAGACCCAGCTCCCTTCTAATATGACTGCTAAAGCAGCAGAAGATGGTCCAAGTATTTGGGACCCTGCAACCTTCTGGGAGACCCTGATGAAGCTCCTGAATCCTGGCTTTTGCCTGTTCCAGCTCAGGCCATTGCAGCTATTTGAGGAGTGAAACAGCAGATGGAAAATCAATCTCTCTCTCTCTCTCTGTCTCTCTCTCTCTCTTTCCCTCTCTCTCTGTAACTCTGTCTTTCAAATAATAAATATTTTTTTTCTTTTTTTTAGCTTTAATTTAGTAAATATAAATTTCCAAAGTACAGTTTATGGATTACAATGGCTTCCCCCCAATAACTTCCCTCCCACTCGCACCCCTCCCATCTCCCGCTCCCTCTCCCATTCCATTCACATCAAGATTCATTTTCAATTATCTTTATATACAGAAGATTGATTTAGTATATATTAAGTAAAGATTTCATCAGTTTGCACCACACAGAACATAAAGTGTAAAATACTGTTTCAGTACTAGTTATAGCATTAATTCACATTGGACAACACATTAAGGACAGAGATCCCACATGAGGAGTAAACACACAATGACTCCTGTTGTTGACTTAACAATTTGACACTCTTGTTTATGGCGTCAGTAATCTCCCTAGCCACTAGTCATGAGTTGCCAAGGCTATGGAAGCCTTTTGAGTTCGCCGACTTCAATCTTATTCAGACAAGGCCATAGTCAAAGTGGAAGTTCTCTCCTCCCTTCAGAGAAAGGTACCTCCTTCTTTGATGGCCTGATCTCACTGGAAGACATCTTTCACTTAGGTCCTCTTTTTTTTTTGTTTGTTTGCCAGATTGTTTTTAAAAGTTTATTGTAAAGATAATTATAAATTTCCGTTTTTATGGAACTAGTACTTCAAATTATAAATATATGGCCACAACATTTAATTTGCTATGGTAGACATCTAATTTATTTGCAACCTCATGAATTCCCAATTCTTTGTCATTAATAATAAGTATATTAAAATGTGAACAGTTAGGAAAATTGTGATGATGATTCTAAAATATTTTTAAAATAATATATATTTTAAGAAATTATTGCTTTTGAAAAGGTAAGAATAAATGAAAATTAGACCAGCCCCCACAGGCCCAGGTTCGAGTCCCATCTCACCACCCAACTGGCCCCAGAGGCCCAAGATCAGTAGAGGAAGGCTGCAATGGACACAGACTTCAAGCCCATGCCAGACCAGGGTGGGCTCTGAAGCCCCCGACAACAGGTCCCTCCCATCGATCCAGCCTTCATGCCCACTCCAACACAAACCTGGTACTAGCACTCAGTCAACACCGTTGTACCTCAGTTTTAGGCTGGTCCCTATAGAACGAGGCATAAAGATAGTCTCATTGGCAGCCAGAACTAGCCTCCATGTAAAAACCTTGGTCCCTGGTTTCTGTGAACCCACTGTCCAGGTCACCACTGTAGACCGAGGAATTGACATAGTTCCTATGAACTCAGCATCATGTTTACCCACATGCTGACCCAGGCACCAGACTGCCTGAGGACTCCAGGTGCAAGCTCATTTGCAGACCTTACAAGATAGCCTTTCCAGGAAATATTTGAAGTAAATGTTAACAGAACAAAATGGGAAAATAGAAGACAAAGCAATAGCAATAGGGACCTTGAACAATGCTACTTCCAATAGTGCAGAGATCAGCTAGACCCAATGTCAAAAAAGAAACAAGGAACTTGAGCAACACTATAAACAAAGTAGACCTGTACAGAATATTCTATCCAACAGTGGCAGCATATAGCCGCTTTCAAGTGCACATGGAATATTCTCTGCGAGATCATGTGTTAGGCAATAAAATCGAGTATTAATAAATTTAAGGTTATTGAAATCATAACATTTATTTAAAAAAATTACAATGGACCTAGAAATCAATAACAGGAAGATAACTGGATACTTCACAAATATGTGGAAGTTCAACAACGCATTTTGAAAAGACCAATAGGTCAAAGAAGAAATAAAAAGGGAAACAGAAACTATCTCAAAATAGATGAAAATGGAAGCACAACATACCAATACTTACAAGAACTAGTAAAAGAATTTCTAAGAAGAAAGTTTATAGTGAGTGCTAAATGCTCTTGATTAGACAAAAGAAAGATCTCAAATAAATAAAGAAAATTCATAAACTAGAAAGAAAAAGATCAAAACCTAAAGTCTGCAGAAGGAAGAAAAAAAAAGATCAGAGCAGAAGTAAATGACATGGAAACGAGGAAAAAAAGAGAAAACGTCAATGAAACAAAACTGATGAATTTTATCTACATTTAAAAAAGAGAAAAGACTCAAGTAAATAAAACTGTAAGTGAAAGAGGAGACTTTAATCTGATACCAAGAAATAATAAAGTACCATAATAAACTATGCCAACGAACAGAATATCCTAAAAGAGATGGAAAAATTCCTAGAAACATATAACCTACAAATGTAGAATCACAAGGAAATGGAAAATCTTAGGTGAATAGCAAGTAAGGAGGCTGAAATTCTCCCCTCCAAAAATGCCTAGTATCTGATGGCTTCACTGATGAATTATTGTTCTTACTACTTAAATATTTCTCTGGACTTCTAAATAGTATTTTTATCTTAAGAGACACTAATAGAATGTCATGCAAAACTCACAGGAAAAATTTTTAGTAAGAAAAAATAATAAAGACCTTGCTTAGGAGTTGTATAAACCATGCATCAAGAGGCTTCCTTACAAGTTTTAGTTTATATAGCCGTGTATAACATGTTAAGGCCCAATGCAGATGAAAGTCTCTCACTCAGCTACCAGAATAGTAGCTTCCACAGAGTAGTAGCTTCCATAGCTACAAAGAGCTTCATGTTTTACGGCGCCGTGGCTCAATAGGCTAATCCTCCACCTGTGGCGCAGGCACACTGGGTTCTAGTCCCATTCGGGGCACCAGATTCTGTCCCGGTTGCCCCTCTTCCAGGCCAGCTCTCTGCTGTGGCCCGGGAGTGCAGTGGAGGCTGGCCCAAGTGCTTGGGCCCTGCACCTGTTTAGGAGACCAGGAGAAGCACCTGGCTCCTGCTTTCGGATCAGCTTGGTGTGCCGGCCACAGCGGCCATTGGAGGGTGAACCAACGATAAAAGAAAGATCTTTCTCTCTGTCTCTCTCTCACTGTCCACTCTGCCTGTCAATAATAATAATAATACAAAAAAAGATTGGGATGTGGAAGTGCAGAAATTGTTGCAGCATACATTCACAACTTAGAGGAGATGCCTGGGTCAATGGGTGAGGGAGTTTCCTGCTGCCCCTTAGTTCCTTTGATAATGAAGAGGTGAGGAGACCTGCACTACTCCCATCTGGGTGGCCTCCGTGATGGAGCTCCATGGAGGTCCAGGATATTGCCCTTCAGATGGGAAGGGAAAGCGTCCCGCTGCGTGCTGTGTAGGCAGAAAGGCTCATTCGGCTCCTCTTTCCTCACTTGGATAAACACAAATGTATCGCCTGCTCAATTGTCTGTTCATCCTCCCCAAACTTCCCTGCTTCCATTCCCCTTAGGAAAGGAATAAATGGGGCCAGTGTCATGGCACAGTGGGTTTAGCCACTGCCTGTGACACTGGCACCCTATGTGAGCTCTGGTTCAAGTTCTGGATGCTCTACTTTGATCCAATGCCCTGTTAATGCACCTGAAAAAGCAGCAGAAGATAGCCAAGTACTTGCGGCCCTGTCACTCACGTGGCAGACCTGGAAGAACTCCTTGCACTGGCTTCAGTCCAGCCCAGCCCCAGCCCATTGTGAACTTCTGGGAGAGTGGACCAGTGGATAGAAGAGATTCCTCTCTCTCTCTCTCTCTCTCTCTGTGTGTGTGTGTGTGTGCCTTTTAAATAAAGAATAAAGAAATAATATTTTTAAGAAAAGGCATCAAGCATGAAGGATCCTCAGAGTGGCTGAACTGATGATGTTATTGCCAATTGATAGATTCACTGGTTGCCACAGGTGAAAATCTTCCCTGTGCAGCAACGGAAAATACCTAAAGAAACATGAATCAGGAAGTGAGTCCTTACAGGGAAGAGCAGGCTGGTAAGAGAGGGAACATAACCCAAAGAAAGCCTAAAGAAATTAAAACAGAGACAGGTGAAACATAGCTTGACACCAGCCTCAAAGACTTATGTGAAAACATAGGGAAGAAGGAAGGAAGTGACGACAGGGTTTGAATACAGATAAACATTTGTAGCAGATGCACTCACAGTGGAGGGCCATATATCATGAGGGATCCAATTCATATTAAGTAATAATCTACATTATCTGCTAAGCTCAGGAAAGGAGCGTCAACAGTGGGTTTGAAGAGAGTGAGAGGAATATAGAATGCACTTAAGATAATGAAATTTCTGTTAGGAAATAAAGCATTGATGACATCATGTTAGTTCTGAGTTCATAGATCATGATATTATGGGTTACCAATATTATTACATATAGCTTTATCTTGTAACACCTAGTAGCTCTTGTGTATGAATGTAAAAAGCAAATTATAGTATTGGTACAGAATTGGATCTTTTTTTTTTTTTTTTTTTGACAGGCAGAGTGGACAGTGAGTGAGACAGAGAGAAAGGTCTTCCTTTTGCCGTTGGTTCACCCTCCAATGGCCGCTGTGGCCGGCGCGCTGCGCCCGGCGCACCGCGCTGATCCAAAGCCAGAAGCCAGGTGCTTATCCTGGTCTCCCATAGGGTGCAGCACCCAAACACTTGGGCCTTCCTCCACTGCATTCCCTGACCACAGCAGAGAGCTGGACTGGAAGAGGGGCAACCAGGACAGAATTCGGAGCCCTGACCGGGACTAGAACCTGGTGTGCTGGCGCCACAGGCAGAGGATTAGCCTAGTGAGCCGCGGCACTGGCCCAGAATTGGATCTTAATCCCATACATTGCAGAGCCTACCCTGGTCAACTCAGTTTTAATAAGAATGCCACGAATACACAATGGGGAAAGTTAACCTCTTCAACAAAGGTTATTAGAAAAACTGCAAAGGATTTCTACATGCAAATGAATGAAATTGGACCATTATCTTGCATCACATGTATTACATTATACCATGAAAGTGAATTAAATACCTAAAGAACAGAAGCTGTTCAACTCCAGAAAGAAAACATAAAGGAAAACCTTGTAACAGTAATTTCAACAATGATTTCTTGGATATGGCACAAAGAGCACAGGCAACACAGGAAAAGTAAGTAAGTAGCACTGCATTAAACTAAAACGCCTATGTGCAATGGTTAGGTGCCACTTGGAATACCCATATCCCATATCATGGCTGGATTTGAGTCTTGGCTCCATTTGCATTCCAAACTTCCTTCTATTGTGCTTCATGAAAGACAACAGGGGATGTCTCAAGTAGATGGTCCTGCCACCAATGAGGATACACGGATCAAGTTTCAACTCCTGGCTCTGGCCCTGTCCTGGGTTTTGGAGGCAACCTGAGAGAAGCAGTGGATGGGAATCTCTCTCTCTCTCTCTCTCTTTCTCTCTCTCCCTTTCTCTTTCTTTCTCTCTCTCTCTTTCTCACTTTCAAATAAATTAAATAAATATGTATGTAATATCTTGCAAATCTTTTTTATAAAAATGGTCCAGACCTTGTTATCATAAAACATAACCATGCTATCATACTCAAGAATATGTATTAGAAGTTCAAGAGGGCACAATGAGATGGGTCCTCTTATCTCCACAATATCTGTCACAACTCACATAGCTCAACACTGGGCAAAAGAAAGCTTCATGACTTATGAAAGGAAGAATCAATAAAATTTGACATGATAGCTTAAAAGGGACTGTTAATTCTGATCCTAACTTTAGTTATTTATTAAAAAATTATTGAGAAATTAAGTGTAACATTCAACACTTACTTAAATTAGCACTTACTATTTTCACAAATACCATTTCCTCATAATTATTGTATCATTCTAAAACATACACTATAAGAGTACTTCAAAAAGGTAATGAATGAAAAATTAATGTAAGTTTCCTTCAGTGTAAAAATTTTCAAAATGCACTCCTAATTTTTTCATAATATACATTCTCCATGAAAATTATGTAGAACCCCTTGTAATATTCTTTGCTGTCCATACACATGAAAATGTTATATCTATATATCTATCTATCATCTATCTATCTATAACTTTAGAACATATAAATCACATTTGGCTCTTTTAAAGTAATATATTTTGACCAATTCCACAGATGCATAATAAAAACAATATTTTATTTATATGATATTGGATAATACCACATGAGATTAAAATCAATGTTTATCTTTTTAAAAATAATTTCCAAAGATTTATTTATTTGTTTGAAAGGTAGAGTTAGAGAGAGGGAGAGGCACCTGAATGGCTGCAGTTGCCAGGGGAGGGCCTGACTGAAGCCAGGAGCCAGGAGCTCCTTCCGCATCTCCTATGCGGGTGCAGATGTGCAAGCACTTGGGCAATCCTTTGCTTTTCCAGCCCCATTAGCAGGGAACTGGATTGGAAATGAAACAGCCAAGACTTTAGTCGGCATCCATATGGGAAGCTGGCGCTGCAGGCAGCCGTAATCTGCTATGCCACAGCACTGGACCACTGTTTAGCTTTTAGAGAACACATTTTACTTCTGATTTTTGATGGCACTTAATAATAGAAGCTATTATTTTCAGAATTTAAATTTTTAGTGAAGAAGTTATTGATTAGAGTACCTCAAGCACTGATGAATAAATTAACATTAAGATACTCTTCGTGACACATCTTTACTTAGATAAGTAGCAAATAAAATTCTTATAAAATTGAATAAGAATTTTGTATTTTAAGAAACATAAGATTTTGACAATAGAGAAAAAGAAAATGTTCTAAGTTTATGATGAAGTCAGGAAAATTGAGATTTGGGATTAAATATGGCACTTGAATACTCAGACTTTAATTAGCAAATTAAAGAAGTAAGTTTGAAAAACAGATTTTAGTGATGATTATATGGTTAGGTGCACAATAATATAATTATCAAGGTCCATGCTATCAAATTGTGATCATCACTTTTCATCTTATTCAAATAGGAACAAGTTCCTGAAACTTTGTGCAAGTGCAGAAGAGTTTTGTGAGCTAACCAACTACTAAATAATTAAAGAAGCATTCACACTCTTCTAAAAATATGAGTGTCTAGTCACCCAGGAGATTAGCCTATAGCTGAGAGTCTCTCTGGCATGCCATGGTTATTAATAGTCCTAATAAAATTGAAGCTGACCAGCTCTGCCACAAAGGATTTGATAGGGTAATGCAGCTGAACATGATCTTTCCTTTGAAAAGAGAAAGATTTTCTAAGTTTTGCTTCTTTTCTGAATTCTGGTCAGAAAGCTGGGATTGATTTTGTTTGAATCCCCCCATGATTCTTTTTTTACTGGAGAGAGATGGCAGCAAAAAAACCTGATTTGCTTTCAAGACATTTGCTGCTTTTTTTTTCTTCCTTCCTTCCTTCCTTCCTCCCTCCCTCCCTCCCTTCCTTCTTTCTCTCTCTCTCTCTCTCTCTCTCTCTCTCTCTCTCTTCCTTCCTTTCTTCCTTCCTTCTTTTCTTTCTTTCTTTCTTTCTGGTCGTGTAAAGCTCCTGCAGTTCAAATAATAGGCCTCTGTGAAATAACATCAGTCCTAAACCAATCATCCAAATACTCTCATGGAAATTAAAGACTTAGAGTTGTGATATGATCAGTCTCCATAATAATGTGAATAAGATTATTGAGTGTTCTTTTTTAAAAAAGATTTATTTATTATTTGAAAGGAAGAGTTACAGAGAGGAAGAGGGAGGGAGAGAGGGAGAGAGAGAGAGAATCGTCTATCTGCTGGTTCACTCCCCAGATGCAGAATGGCCGGAACTGGAATGCCAGCACTGCAGGCAGCGGCCTTACCCACTATGCCACAGCATCAGCCTCTCTGCTCCTAACTCCAGTTGCCTGCTAATGTGTACCCTGGGAGGCAGCAAACAATGTCTCAAGTTGTTCAGTCCCTGCCACCAGCACATGGGATTCAAACTCCTGCATTCAGCTTGACCAGCCCTGGCTGTTGCTAGACTTTAAAGAGTGAACCAGTGAATGGAAGATATCTCACTCACTCCCTCTCTATCTTCCCTCCTCTGCTTTTCAAATAAATAAAAATGTTACAAAAATGACATTCTACTAAAAAATACTCCAGAAGATATAGATTACCAGTGTTGTGCATATGTTGTGCGTGTATGACATAATATTCTTCTTCAAAATATTCTTCCACCAAACTGTGTACACATATCATTACACTGGTATGTATAAAATGCTCATGGAAAACTGTATATTTATATCTGAGATGACAGTTAAATAGGCCAATGAAACAGGCATCCTTTAAAATGCAGCTCTATTATGTGTAACTCGTATAGCTCAATAAATTATTAAGAGTTAATATTTTCTTGCACTTGGTTTATCAAAAATTTTATAAAATTAATTTATTAGTTCATTGATGTTTCATTATGTCTAATACAATATAGATTGAATTTAATTTTCTTAAATCCTTGAATAATTCTATTATCTTAATTCAGATATCTAAATATGTTTATATTAAAGCAACTACATAAATGAGTAAAAATGTGTAGCAGAAGTGATGCTTTCCATAAAAATAAAGTAGAATTAATAAATGTAGAAGGAATGAGTGAAAGATAAAGTTATTAGAAAACTACAACAATATTTACTGCAGACAAAATTCACTACTGGATAGACAGAATATTTACAAACTCTCAATGTAACATCCATAGGATATTTGTTAATTATAAGGGGGAAATTATAATTTTACAGTGGAGAAAATTGAAAGACACTCCCGTAAGCAAGATTTTGTCATAGTTTAATAACACATATAGACATACAATTCCTGAAATGATGCACTAAGATGAGTACAACATGTTTATGATATTCTTTGCCAGAAGTGAATAATACCAATGCAATGATGAGAAATCATCAGAAAAAAAATCCATGTGCATTTAACATTTCACTAGTAATTTTCAGAAACAGGAAAGTCATGAAAAACAAGGAAAAACTGAGAAACTGTAATAGTGCCCAATACGATGTGACATTCTGAGTCAGATCCTGGAATTGCTAAAGACAACAGTGGAAAGAAAAGCTGGTAAAATTCTAATTAATCATGCTTTTATGTAATAATATTGTGTCAATGTTGTTTCTTAGTCTTGAAATTAGCATGTGGTTACCAAGATGTTAATGCTAGGGAAAGCTGGGTGAATTCTGTAATCAGTGCTTTATGATCATTTTATAACATTTTTCAATGGTCTAAATTTATTTCTAAATGAAAAGTTAAAGCCAAATCTATTGACTGCC